GAAGGAAGGAAGGAAGGAAGGAAGGAAGGAAGGAAGAAACCACGTTCTAGAGTTGGGAACTGAGGAAGCATCCACTCCAGCATCTCCATCATTAGCATCTCTTAGCTGAGTATGGGATTCAGCTGCTCAGCTTTTCTCTCCCGGAAAGAGCACATGCTCGTCCAGGAAGCCCCTTCCTTGAGATGATGGAGGCTGAGACACAGAGAACAGAGAACCATCAAGACAGGAAGATATGAGAGACTGGGGAGGGGAGGCAGGATAAGGAGGGAGGAAGAGAAAGACAGCCTGGATAGACAGGAGGTCAAGATGGGAAAGAGGCCTCCATGGTGATGTCAAGGCCATATCTTCTAGCCAAAAATGGGGGGCTGGGCTCAAGGGCGCAGTCATGTTGTCAGTGATCAGAGGGCAGATCTTCTGCAACATGAGAAAGAGGAAGTCAGATGATTAAAAAAAAAAATTGGTGGCCACAAGGAGGTGCAGATAAGGAGGTCCTGTCCCCATTCAGTTCTCCACATGAGAAGGCCTGGAGGGTGTGGGTCATTTTAACAAGATTCTCTCCTGAGTCCTGAGCACCCCAGGGTCCCTCCACAGGGCCTGTTCCCCTGCCTGATGGCTCTGCTGCTCTCGATTCCTGAAGGGAATCAGATCATGGCTTGGATCCTGCTTTTGCTGCTGCTAGCACCATGCCTGCAAGCTGGTGAGTGGAGGGACTTTGCTATCTGCCTTAACCACAGGGTGGGCCAGTGGGGCTGGGAAGAGTGGACTGCCATGTGGATTGGTGACTGCCCTAGCAAGCGGCCAGTCTTCTCTGCCCCAAGAGAGTACTCATCTTCAGAGTTGGTCCAACCCAACCTTTCTATCTTTTCTGTCCCACCAGCCATAGGACAGTCCTTCTTGTGTCCCACACCTGCCTGTGAGTTGTTCTTTCCATGTCCTGCAGTGGCTCCAAATTCTCCCCATCCTGCCCAGGTAACTCAGCAGGATCCAACAGAGAAAGATCCTTTGCGGTTAACCAACCAACACGCCTCTCCGGTGTCCAGGACGGCTCCATCGAGATCCCCTTCTCCTTCTACTTCCCCTGGGAGTTGACAAAGATTCGGCAGATGAGGATTCTCTGGAGATGGAAAGTCTTCCATGGGGAATTTATCTACAACTCCTCCCCACCTTTCATACACAAACATTTCAAGAACCGGCTCATCCTGAACTGGACACAGCCTCAGACATCCGGAGTCCTCAGAATCCTGGACTTGAAGGAGGAGGACCAGACAGTGTACTTCTGCAGAGTTCATCTGAACACAACAAAAGGCACGGAGAGTTGGCAGTCAATTGAAGGGACTCAACTTACCATCACCCGTGGTGAGCCATGCTGGCTTAGGTTTTGATGCCTCTGATTTCCTCTCCACTAGATGTCACCTCAGGCTCCACACCTCTGAGCTTGGCTTCATATTCCTTTTCCTTGGCTCTGCCCATGCCTCTGTCCTAGTAGTTGTGACAAGCTTTTGCTGCCGTCTCTGACCTTGTCTGCCATTCTCTGCTCAGAGAGAACCCCACACCTAACTAGGCTTCATGATGGGCCCTCTACCCTAGTTCATCCCCTTTTTGTTCCAAGTCTAACACCACGGCTCTGCCCACTGCCCCCATTCCCCATGACCTCCAGGTGGGTTGACGTCTCCAGGATGTAGCTGACTCACTTGGTCCTGTGGCAGGTCTCCACACAGCTCCCACCTAAGCCCAGAATAAACAGTAGGTGCCCACTGGATGTTCTTCATGTCCTACAATCCAATTGTAAACTGCCACCCGTCACCACAGTGCCCACTAGTCCTGCTAGCTCCCAGGACACATCCCTCACCTCAGCCCTACACACCCCCTCCTCTCGGTTTCCCAACCCCCTTCCTTCCTTCCTTGCCCTCACCTTTCCCACAGAAGCCCTTGGGATTTTCAAAATAATGCCTCCTTCATGATGTGTCTGAAGACAGAGCAGCTCATCCGAGGCAGAAGGGACTGCAGGCCCATACACTGGGAGTACTGATACCCAACCCAGTCACTGTGTGGTCCTGAACATGGCCATCCTGGAGCCGCAGGAGTCGATGTACTTGGTTCTTGTTCACAACCTTGCTGTGTAGATGTTAATTTCTTTATTTACATTTTTGTTTTATAGCACAGGGTCTCACCACTTAGCCTTGCTTGTCCCCAAGCTCACAAGTAGACCAGGCTGGCATGGACCTCACATAAATCTGTCTGCCTCTGGCTCCCAAGTGCTGAGATAGTCATATGTTGCGACGCCCAGCTGTGGCTCTTGATTATATTGAGGTCAACCTCTGAGAGGACGCCCTGAGCGCAGTTCTCTGTGCAGTCTCTGTGATGGCCATGTTGACCTGGTGTATTGTCAAACAGTAGTTTCCAGAGCTCAGAAAAGGGAAGGAGCTGTTTCATGGTTCTTGAGCAGGAGTTCCCAACCTTCTTTACTGTGACCCTTTAAAAAGTTCCTCTTATTGTGATGATCCCCAACCATACAATTTCTTTGTTGCTGCATCACAACTTTAATTTTGATGCTCTTATGACTTGTAATGTAAATACATGATATGCAGGATACCTGATAATCCGGCCCTTGTGAGCTTAGGGACACACAAGTAGAGAACAGCTGGGTTAGGATTTCCCAATAGAAATATGTTACAGAAATTGACCTCAGTGATGTTTGTAGAGGAAATTAATGTACTCTGCTCTGCACTGAGCTATACACTTACAGCCAGAATTGTATATTTTCTGTTATACATTTTTGTGTATTCTGTATGTGTGATGTGGGTCTGTTAACACAGGTGTGTGTGTGTGTGTGTGTTTGTGTTTGTGAATGCAGGAATGTACACATTTGTTCATGAGCACATGTGAGACTATATGACAACTTCAGGTGTCATCCACCTTTGTGTGTGTGTGTGTGTGTGTGTGTGTGTGTGTGTGTGTGTGTGTGTGTCAGGGTCTCACATTGGCTTTGAGATTGCCAAGTAGGCTAGGCTGGATGGCCAGTGAGTCTAGGGACATGCTGTCTCCACCTCCTCAGTCCTGGGATCACAGCTCACTCAGCTGTTTTGGTGTGGAACTGAATACACAGACAGGGTGGTGGCTTTATATCACAGATGTCCTGCCTCTGCCTCCAGGGCTAAGAGTAAAGGCCATGTCGGGTTCACTCAGGCTCTGCATATGGGTTCTTGGGATTAATCTCAGGTTCTAAACTGCAGAGACCAAACACTCTATGGATTTAGAGATCTGTGTACATTACCTACGTTTAGAACAAAACAACTACTTCTGTGACTTATTTACCTGTGACCAAATGAAGATCTGAGGACACACCTCCAGGACAGGTGCAGAGCGTGCATTTGACCTTGCTCTCCTAGAGTCTCAGCCTTTGTGCCCCTCTCTGTGTGAACTTCTAAGAGCTGTTCCCGTCCCACATCCCACAGAGGAGACAAGGTGGGACTCACCCCCATCCCTCCCTCATCCAGGGAAGAAGTGCTAACTCTAGTCTCTCCCCAGCTGTCAGCACCACCATGAAAACTCCCTCCCTTAGTCACCTCTGCAGTCACCACAGCTGGCCTGGAGGACACAGAGGGTCAGAGCAATCCTTCACTTGTGAACCTGGCAGCCACAGTCGGGGTGGTGGTGGCCACGGCTGTGCTCATAACCCCCGTCTGTGTGTTGATGATCTTCCTGTGCTGGGAGCAAAGGTAAGTGTCCAGGACAGGCCCTCACCTGAGCTTCCCCTCTGAGTTCTCTCAGCTGTGGGGGATGGGGAAGGATGAGCTTGTGCAGGGCAGAGTCCAAGGGACACAAGTAAAGTAAAATGGCTGAACTCAACAAAGACTAAATTGGCACCTACTTGCCTTAGAAACCATGTGGATCAAGTACAGATATACACAGAGCCTGTTCCTGTGGAAGTCAAGGGGGCATTTGGGTGGTCCAGCTCTTGCAGGTCAATGTCTAAGGTTGTCCTCTGCCATACACATGTTTTCACATATGAAAATATACATACTCACATATATACTGCCCAAAAATCTTTTAAAATTTTTTGGGAAACACTAAAATATGTAAGGATATTTACATACTGTAAAATATATACTGTAAGTCCTTACAATGCAAAACAATCAAGAAATTCATTGCAATCCCTATTCATTTCCAACTGCATTTTTGTGAAGACAAATGGTTTGTCTTCTAACATTCTTAAGGATTCTAAAAAATAAATATGGGAACACACCTAGGAACATCTCTAATCCCAGCATTTGAGAAATGGAAAGAGAAGGATCCCAAGTTCAAGGCCATCTGCAGTTACATAGAAAGTTGAAGGCGAACCTGGGCTCATATTGACCTTGTACACATAAAACAAGAGCCAAGTGTGGACTGTGTTCAGTGTAGATTTAAATCTACAGTGAGTAGAAGACTACAGATGTATAGTGAGATCAGTAAAGACTAGAATATACTAGAAAGTGCAGAAATACAGACTTAACCATGTAGCCCCTGGTTTTCAGAAGGGCCCGGCCCTCCAATGAGGGAAGAAGAGGAACTGAGCTCTGGAGAGCAGCAGCCTCAGACACAGCACAAGTCTGACTGTGACTCCAGCCCTGAGGCTGAACTGGCAGGGCTGCAGCAGGCTGCACTCACAGGGAAAGCTACAGAGCTGGTTCCCAGGGAGGCAAAGGGGAGGCATGGTGAGTGCAGAGAGGGAAAGCAGGGAAGGGACAGGAGTTCAAGGCAGGGGGAAGGAAGTAAAGGGAAAGGGGATGGACAAGGAGCAATGGACCAGGAGAGCTTTCCCCTGATTGGCTGTGCTGTGCTGAAGGACAGCTGAGGACTGGCCCCAGGTCCTGGTGACTCTCATCCTGTCCCTGAATGGCTGCTGCAGAGCTGTTTGCTGCCCTGGGCCCCTAATGTTGTCTGAACACAGAGAACAGCTGAGAGGCAGAGGGAGGGTCAGCATGGCTGCCACACTGACACCGTTTCTTCTCCTACAGGCCAGCACCCTAAAGCCAAAGCCCAGCCAGGTGGGCGCCCGTCATCCCAGCGAGCAGGTGAGGGGCCTTTCAGGATGTTTGCTCTGAGAGACATGCAAGGGAGTAGAGAGATGATTCAGTCAGGAAACCCTCGAACATGGACAGGAGGACCTGAGATTGATCCAGAAAACACACATTATTAGCAAAGCAGATGGCAGGAAATTGTACCTTCAGCCCTGGACAAGCGAGAACAGAGCAGAGTCATAGGGCTCGATGTGCAGCTACTCAACACTAATAGGAGAGTTCCAAGCCAGTGAGAGGCTATGTCACAAAAAAAAAAAAAAAAAAAAAAAAAAAAAACCCAAAAAGATAAATCATATTAACAACATTTTCTAATTCTTATTTAAATGAAGAATTTTTAAATTACTTATTAAAGAACAAAAAATAGTGTGGGCAAACAAGATAGCTCAGTGGGAATGATGTTGGCCGCCTAGCCCAAAGAACCTGGCTTCCATTTCTGGGGACCTAACTGATACAAGGAGAAAACTGGAAAATCGTCCTCTCCATCTCAGGGTCACCCACAGGCACCTGATGAGACACTGTCTGTTAGTCCCCTGCTAACAGACTCCAGACCAGCATCTGTCACCAGGGAAGTGAGTTTACTTAAAAGTATGGGTTGCTGGCCACACATCCTGCATCCCCTCCCTTCCCCTGACTCTTTAGTGAAGACCAGAGAGGCTGCAGGAGGGAGCTGTGATAGATCCTTTCCTTGGACAGGTACAAGAAGAGAAGCCACACTTTGGACATGTGGACTCTGATATCCTCTCCTCAGAACCAAGGTCGTCTTGTCTACTCTGGTCCTGAGAACACAATGGTGCTGTTCTCTGTCTGTCTGGAGAAGTAATAACACTTTTCAATAAATGTCTTACTCCCAACAATCATCTCAGTGTGGCTCTTGTCTCTCTCTCTCTCTCTCTCTCACACACACACACACACACACACACACACACACACACACACACACACACACACACACACGAGACCTCTTAGAGAGTTGCAGATTGTGTCCAGGACAAGGCACACAGCGAGTCCACACTGAGAACCACTGCATGAGGGTCCTGGTATCTCTCTTCCTTTCTCCATGGTCACCGCCATGTCATCCACAGCCCCTGAACCCTCCATGCTCCTCCTCAGGTGACAGACTGGGACTTGCTTGGGTTCCATGTTGAGCTTCCTTTCCTCACAGGTCATCTACATGCAGTCTCTTTCCTTGATTCCTGCCATGTTCATATTCTGTCCTCTGGGGTCTCCTCTAGCATAAGACTTCCTTCTCAAGGATGGTCTGTCTTCACATTTGATAGTCAGAGGGTCAGCTTCTACCAAAGAGCCTCTGAGACATGAGGACAGCTTCCAGCCTGACAAATAAGAATAACAACCTTTATAGCTTTAAAGGGATATCTGACATTAGGGTAATGAACAGAGAGTCACAGGAAGAACCCACCTAAGAATCTAAGCAATGGTGGAGAGGCTGCCTTAAATGCACTTCCCCTATAATGAGACTGATGACTACTTTAAATGCTATCCAGTAGCTGATGGCAGCAGAAGCAGAGTTCCACAGCTAAGCAATGAGCAAACTCCTAGAATCCAGGTGTAGACAGGGAGGAGTGATGAGCAATGCAGTCAAGACCAAGTTGGGGAAACCCACAGAAACAGCTGGCCTGAACAAGACTCCAGTCAGACATCTGGGGAACCAGCATAAGACTGAACCAAGCCTCCTGAATGTGGATGTCAGTTAGGAGGGCTGGGCGGTTGATGGGACTTCTGACACTGGAGCCAGTATTTATCCCCAGTGCACAAATGGACTTTCAGAGTCCATTCCCTATGGAGGGATAATCTCTCATCCTAGATACGGAGGGGAGGGCCCAGACCCTGCCCCAAATGATGTCACAGACTTTGATGATTCCCCATGGAAGGCCTCACCCTCCCTGAGAGTAAATGGGGGTGAGATGGGGGAAGTCGGTGAGGGCCATGGGAAGATGGGAGGGAGAGGGCACTGGGAATGATATGTAAAATAAGATTGTTTCTAGAGTATATTTTAAAAAGAAAAGAATGAAAACCATGCTGCTTTGACAGCCACACGGACATTGTGGCTGTTTGCCTGTATCTGGCCCTCATAGGCTCACAGGGAATGCACTATAGGAGACATAAAATTGTTGGAGTAGGTATGGCCTTGTTGGAGGAAGTGTGTCATTTTGGGGATGGGGTTTAAGGTCTCCTATGCTCAGTCTATGCTCAGGTTAGACACAGTTGATTCCTGTTGCCTAGGGATCAAGATATAGGTCTCAGATCCTCCTCCAACACCATGTCTGACTACATGCTGCCATGTCTACCATGAAGAAAATGGACTAGAACTCTGAAACTGTACACCAGCCCTAGTTAAATCTTTTCCTTTGTAAGATTTGTCATCTCATGGAGTCTCTTCACAGCATTAGAGCCCTAAGACAGAAATGCTTGATTGACATCCACCATCAGAGTCCTGCATAGTTGCAGCTCTATTCCCACCAATCACAATCCTCAAATGTCTATCAATCATGGGCCTTACTGAGTCACTGAGGAAAGGTTCCATCCCCATGAGACTAGCTGAGATGGCGGGGTCATGGAGAAGTCACCAAGGCCTCTCATGGCTAAAGTGAAGGCTCCTCGGGCAGCTGTGAGATGTCTGCAGAGGTGTCACTGGATCCAAGCCTCCTGAGACTGTACTCCGCAGCAGCCATGGTCACAGTGATTTTGGCTGCTGAGGGTTGTCTTCTCTGAGCATCTCTGAGGTGTTCACACAAGCAGACTGCCAGTCATCTGATGGGAGTTGTCATTCTGTAAATATGTTTCTCATACTGGTTAATGAATAAAGCACTGTAGGGCAATAGGAAAGCTAGATAGGTGGGACTAGAAGACCAGGAGGAAAGAGGAAGTAGGAAGGAGGAGTCAAGATGGAGAGTCTGGAGAGAGTTGGAGGCCAGCCTGCTCTCCGGTAAGACCACGTGGAAATATTAGATTAACAGAAATGACAGAGCTAGCCAATAAGAAACATGTAACTGGCCAACAGCATTATATCTAATACAGAGTCTCTGTGCATTAATTGGGGCAGGTGTGGCTGCAGGACCAGACATGGCGGGCAGAAAAACCTACTCCTTAGTATCATCTAAAGCAGGGTTCCTTCATCAGCTCCTCCGTCCAGACAGCTTGTCACGGAAATGGGACATTATGGATGGCACTCGATGGTCATGTGATGTGTCGTGTCAGTTTCCATTGTTCAAAAGGGGGAACAACAAAGGGGCCCACAGCAAAGACTCACACAGAACCCACAATCTCAGCTTTTACATCAGATCACCTCAGGGTGAAGGAACACTGTATTCCCACATCACAGCACACCTCACTTCAGGCATGGCTGCCACTGTTTGTGATTTGTGTCCCCTAGACTGAGCTAGTCAGTTTAAAGGAGTACTAGAGAAACCCAGGCTTTGTGGCATATGCCTGTAATCCCAATGATTGACAGGAGCAAGACCATGAATTAGAGACTATCATTAAGTACATATTGAATTTGAGGCCAACCTGAGCTTCAGGAAAACCTGTCTTAAAACCAAACAAACAGCTAAGCTCACCAAAGCTCCAAACACTACAGAGAGGCCATAGAGGCTGCTCATGTGCTACTTCACTTTGGTTGGAGGCAGAGAACTTGAAGATGCCCAGAGTTTTCTCATTAGATACACGTATGCAAACTTCGCGACTTTGAATATTTTCTTTAAAATAATATATATAATGTTGAAGAGGAAATTGAGTTTCTCCATTTCTGTGACCTCACACTCAATGATGTGTGAATTTCTTCCTTTGACCTTTGTATCTGCAGAGGCTGGGACACTTCATACCTGAGCACCAGAAGACTGAGCTGGTCCCCCAGACCCACCCACTGGGCCTTTAGGACACACTGCAGAGCCTCTTCTTGGGGCTCCCCCAGGCAGGGGTACAGGGAGTGCTCATGCTGTGGTTGGGCACCACATGAAGGAGATGAAGATGGTGGTGTCATCCTTGGGAGACAGATGGGATCAAATGGAGCTGGGACAATTGTGATATTGTAAAACTGCAGTTGCAGCCTGAGGGTCCTGTCTACACCACAGGCCTCGATTCTAACACCCTGACTCTAGCATCTCCTCCACTTTCTTCTTGGTCCAATCTGCATGGGTTAATCTGGGGTTTATGTTGTCAAAGGAGAAAAAATTTTAAGCAGTGGGAGAGTAGGTGGTGTTATGGGATAGGTAGAACGATGGTACCATGATTTTTGCTTTATTGCTCCATTATATGGTTTTTAAAACTTGCATATAACACATATTTTAGAACTATTACAGACATTTTTATCTACAACAGGCATAGTTCAACACATTGCAATATCTATAATACTATGTTAAAAATGTGTATCTCAATAAAGCAAATCACATTCATTTTTGTCTTCCAAGTACACATGAAATTTATGCTTCCTGCACATCACAATCTTCTTTTATGTAGGAACATTGTATCTAAAACAGTGTGAATATACTGACTAAAATACATTATTAGCTAAAGTTTTCCAGCTTCAGTAAGTGTTATATTTTTATTGGTATTATTCTTGCTTCAGTGTCTACAGAGAATGATTTTTGAATGAGGGTGTTTATGGCAATGTCTTAAAATAATAATCTTATGGCTTGTGTGTTTGCTTAACTGGTGGTTAAAGCCATCACATAAAACAATAAATCCTCTCAGGCAACCCATGGCTCACTGAACCCAGTTTCTTCATCATGAGTAGACTGTGGTTTCAAGAAACCACATTCCCACCTCTCCCAAGAGCAGGAGCACCTTCCCTGTTTACACTTCATCGCCAGATGGAAACAACTCAGTTATATCTTCACACCCCAATGAGGATTCAAATTCTTGCTCTTACAACCACATCTACATCCACTTCTATCTACGCGATCTTGAACCCCTTAAAGCCACATGTTATAGTGGGGCTCAAATTTCCCCGTTAATTTCAACTTTGGCATTTGTTTTTATATACATACATACATAATACATACATATATATATATATATTTTCTTATTTTACATATCGATCCCAGTTCCCTCACCCCCCTCCCATCCCATTCCCCATCCACTCCACAGGGAGGGTGATGCCTTCCAGGAGGGATCATCAAAACCTGTCAAGTCATTTGGAGTAGGGACCAGTCCCTCCAAGTAGACATTTTCATCAAAGGGAGTATCTGCTGAGTCAGGGCCCACAGGGCCTCTACTGCAGGTTATTTGATGGAAGTTTCTGGAATTGGTTGATTCAGACAGAAATAGGAAGGGTTGACCCTGCTCTTTGCCACTACTGTCATGGGAAAACACAGCTGGGTATAAAGTCAGAGTCTGACTGCTGGGGACACTGTCAGGAACAGGAGTCTGAAGAGTCACAGTGCCTCTCCTAGGAGGCCATGTCTACTCAGGAGGAGGACTGGGTAAGCATGTGCTGGCACATCAGCTATGCAAATCTCTTTGCATGATATGTGTGTGTGTTTGCATTCAGGTGCATGTGTGTGGAAGTGTGCCCTACCCTCGTGGAGGCCATCAGACAAACTCAGGCATTACAACTCAGAACACAAATCACCCTGGGTTTTTTGTTTGTTTTGATTTCAGGATTTGTTTTTTGTTTGTTTGTTTGGGGTTTTCAGTGCACATGGACAATGTAGCCATTGCAGGCTAATCACTGGATATGTAGATCAGGCTGTACTCAGACTCACAGAGATCCACTTGCCTCTGACTCTACCTCCCAAAACTAGAATTAAAGGCATACAGCACCACGCCTACCCTCCCTAGCTTTCAATTTTTAAAATTACCCTACTTCTGTATTCTGTGGGGACAGGGCACACTCCTGCTACAGCTGAGCAGCAGCAGGTTCTAACCCTGCAGCCTGTCACCCTCCATGGTCACATGTATACAAGACCCACGTGTGCACAGCACAGCCCAGGCTGCTCCTCCACAGAAAGTGCCCCTCCCCTGTGACAGCATCATGGGCAGAGCCCAGTCACTGCTATAGGAGAAACATGGTTGTCCCTGCAGGAGACTGATGGCAGCATCCAGGACAGTAATCATCCCACAGAGGGTCCCTATGGGGATCCAGCTGAGTCCTTGACTTGAAACTAGAACAGAGCCCATGACTTAGGATTAAGGGACCAGCAGGTGGCAGCAGTGAGTCTGAGAGCAAGGGGCAGCCAGGATCCTGAGGCACCAACAAGAGCCTGCTGTGTAAAATGCTGGGGTCCAGCAACTGTCATATGGCGGCAACATCAGGTCCAGCCCATCCTGGGTAACAGACAAATCAGGTGACCTTTCACCCAAAGACCACACACAGCAGGTCAAAGCCAGGAGAGTCTGCAGGTGAGCACTTGTGACCAGGAGGGCCCCCTCTCTGACCTCACTGGAGCTCAAAATGTGGGTCATCTCCTAGAACGCTTACCTGCCTGGCATGCACAGAACCGCGGGGTCTGTCTCCAGCAGGAGACACAGAGCCCGATGGATGGAGCACACCTGTCACCCCAGCACACTGGAGGGCAGAGAGGAAGACCTGTAGGAGTTCATGGTCATCCTTGGCTACATAACAAGTCCAAAGCCCAGCCTGGGCTACTCGAGACCACACCCAATAGAAGAGGGGAGGCTTTCTGGGAGGTGCAGTAGGCCTGTCCCTCTCCTGACTGACTGTCCATCTCTGGTAAAGTTATCCCAAAGGTTCTGGACTTTGGTGTCTCCAAGGGCATGGTGGATGGATGAAGAAGTGTAAGAAGTGTGTCCATGTGCAACTGCCCCTGAGGCCAGGAGAGTTTGTGTGTGGCTCAGGCTGAGGGCTCTGAGGACAATGATGACTGTGAGGAAGGCAGAGAATGAGGGAGGGCGAGATGCATAGCCACTTCCAGCGAAGCGTGGAGACGGCACTCCATGCAGGGAATCAAAGGAAATGGAGAGTCGTGTCTGCACAGGTCACTCAGGAGAAGGATGCCACCTCCTCTGGTACAATCATGTCTTCCTGGCCTTTGGGGACCTGAGGGAAACTAATCATTGGGAACAGTAGGATGAGCCTCCTACAGAACCAGCCCTGAGGCCACACAGCAACTGCCACCACTTTCCACACCTCCACCTTAATCACGGGCCAGCTGTGGCCACTGTCAGAGATGTCCTAGGGGAAATGTCAAGAGTGACACGTTGTTGTTCTGAGCTGTCCTTTCCTACTTCATCCAAAGAAGAAAAGCCACAACTAGAAAGAGTCACTAAATAATTTCTGGGATCAGCCTCACGGGAGCCCAGTAGCAGATCCCTGACTTTGAGGGGAGTTCAGAGGCTGCACCAGCAGGCAGCCGGAAGTCTGTGTGGAGAGAACAACTATAAGTATTTTAAGGAAGAGATGTCCATTGAACCCCCCATGTGCCAGTCATGTGACATATGCCAGGGCTCCTCTGATGCTCGGCATCCTCTTCTGAGTGTGTGATAAGGACGGTAGGAGGCAGAGAGGCTCCTTCAGGAACTGGAGTAGATTTGGAGTCACTGTGGAGGTGAGGGAGACGATCACCAGAATCCCAGGGAAGTCATAGACTCGGGAGCAGTGAGCAGCCAGGGAGAGAGTGTCCACTGGCCTTGGTTTCCCGGACATCGTGAAGAGACCATGAAAGGCAGGAACAGTGCAAAGAGGGGACAGGGGTGGCCGAGAACTTTTCTGGAGCTGGGAACTCTATCTGTCTCTGCATCAACATCTTCCCCCTTGTGTCTGAAGTGAGCAGAAACTGAGCACTTCTCTACATGAGGTTATGAGACAGAGAGAGAGAAAGAGAGAGAGAGAGAGAGAGAGAGAGAGAGAGAGAGAGAGACTGAGAAACAGACTGAGGGGAGGGCAGGAGTGGGGGAAATCTGGAGCTGAGGAAACAGGGTGACTGTGGTCACATAGGAATGGAAAACACTGGAATAGACAGGAGGTCAGGGAGGAAGAGAGGAGAGCCTGGCTTTGTGAGGCCAATTCCATCTCTTCCCTGTCAAAATGGACCTGGGCTCAAGGGCACAGCCACCCTGTCAGTGACCACAAGGGAGGATCTTCTGCAACATGGGAAGAAGAAGGCAGATGATAAAGGAAGTTGCTGGCCACAGGGAAGTGGAGATGCGGAGGTCCTGCCCCCACTCAGTCCTCCTCATGAGGAGGCCCTGAGGTTGTGAGCCTCTGTACCCTGATTCTCTCCTGAGCCCTGAGCACCCCAGGGTCCCTCCACAGGGCCTGTTCTGCTGCCTGATGGCTCTGCTGCTCTCGATTCCTGGAGGACACCAGGTCATAGCATGGACCCTGTTTCTGCTGCTGCCAGCACCATGGCTGCAAGCTGGTGAGTGGAGGGACTTGGCCAGCAGGGACTCTGCCTTAACTATGAAGGAGCAGCGGGGCTGGGAAGAGTGGACCCTCATGTGGACAGGGGTGTGCTAGAGGAGCCAGCTGTCCTCTGTGACCCAAAAGGGAGCTCATCCTCAGAATGGTTAAGGCCAACCTTTCCTGGTCTGGGCTGTCCCATGGGGACTGTGGGATGTAGAACAGTCCTGCCCCGTGTGCAATACCTGCCTGGGGAAGATGGCTCAGGACGTTCCGGGTTGTGCCTTCCATCCCTGAAATGACTTCACATTCTCCCCAACCTTCCCAGGTATCTCAGCAGCATCCAGCAGAGAAGGACCCTTTGGGGTCACCCAACCAGCACGCCTCTCTGGTGTCCAGGGCGGCTCCATCGAGATCCCCTTCTCCTTCTACTTCCCCTGGAAATTGACAACGGGTCCAAATATGTGGATTCTCTGGAGATGGAAGGGCTTCCATGGGGAATTTATCTACAACTCCTCCTCAGGTTTCATACATAAGCATTTCAAGAACCGGCTCATCCTGAACTGGACACAGCCTCAGACATCCGGAGTCCTCAGAATCCTGGACTTGAAGGAGGAGGACAAGACATTTTACTTCTGCAAAGTTTATCTGAACACAACAAAAGGCACGGAGAGTTGGCAGTCAATTCCGGGTACCAACCTCACCATCACCCCAGGTGAGCCACTCAGCTCTGGCTTTGATGCCTCTGTCTTCTTTGTCCCTTAGATGTCACCTCAGCTCTACAACTCTGAGCTTGGTTTCATATTCTTTTCCCTTGGCTCTACCCAGGCATGTGCTAACGGGATTTTCCCCTTGTAGTTGTGACAATACTTTGCTGCCTCCTCTGACCTTGTCTGTCAGTCTCTGCTTGGATGAAAATCAATTCCCAACAAGGCTTCAGCCTATGCCCTCCTCCCTAGTAAATCCTTTGTGTTTTAATCTAATGCTGTGATCCAGACCAGATCCTCATGCTCTTTGACCTCAAGTTGGGTAGATTTCTCCAGGATGTAGCTGACTCACTCAGTACTAGGGCAGGGCTCCAATGAGTCCCTGTGTGGAGCATTTCCACACAGTTCCAACCTAAGCCCAGAATAAACAATAGGTGCCCAATGGAAGCTCCTGGTGTCCTACAATCCAACTGTAAGCTGCCATCTCTGAATACAGTCCCCATTCCTGACAAAGTCCCCAGGACAAATCCTTCACCACTCCTTGTCTATGTGAGATTTGGGGAATCAAGAGACAAGGGCACCTCAAGGATGAGTCTAGCCCATTTTAGCTGCAGGGGAATCCTCTCTTTGAACTAAACCACTGTAGCTTAGCAAAAGACCCTTTCATTGTTCTCCAATTTTCACCTTTTAGTTTGAACCCAATGCCACTCTCTAAGATGCCCAAAGGGTCAATGCCAAGTGTAATTTTCAGATTAAGTATACCTGAGGTGTCCTGGGATCTCCTCAACCTTTAGTATCTGCAGAAGATTTTCAGACAAAAAAAAAAAAAAAAATCCCATGGAGGGTACCAGGAGGCAATGCTTAGCAATCACAAAAGGCAGATTAAGTCCAGGTACCTGCACTCCAGTTTAACCAGGTGTATCTCTGGAGATTTTCACAACAACTCCCTTATATGGTCTCCATTTCTCACTCCCCTCTCTCCCTTCTGCCCTCTTGGCCTCACCTCTCCCACACAAGTTCCAAATATCTTGGGAAATCATGTCCACATTGACACGTGTGGCTGCTCTGTCTTCTGATCCCTGCCTCTCCTCGGGAGCACAAGTAACTGCAGTCCTTTGCTCTGGGAACACTGAGTGGCTGTTACACCTCATTTCTTCATGTGGCCCTGTAAGACCCTCGGAATGAGGAGTCTCCCAGTTTCGGTCGGTACCCCCAAGAACTCAGTGTCCAGTCCAGTTGCTGCAACATGCAAGAGGCTTTAATGAACAGGAAACGTTTGCACAAACGGGATCCCTCAGCACACAGGCTAGAGAGAAGCATCATTCTCCAGGCACAGGTGTTTTTAAAGGCAAAACCCACAAGCTTAGGGAGGGGGTGTGACCCTCTGTCCATTGAATAGGTGACCCTTTGAGGCTGGATGGTCTTGCTGGTAGGGTCAGCAGACCTTAGGGCCTCGGGTTGTGCTAATTAATCTTTCTGGGCAAACCGGAGGTATGGTTATCTCTTTGTTTTTTTAAGGAAACTATTTACCACCTGCTGACTCCCGGAAAGGAGGGGCAGTGTGAATTCTTGGTATCCTGCTATCTCAGGGCCAGTGGTTAACAAATTATGCCCGGCATTCCAATTATTTGGGCTTCATTTCATTTCTTTGCTAGTTTAAGTCTTTCAACCCTACAGGACCTGGGGACTCTGTGTGCTTCCTTGTCCATCACAGCCTTGCTCTGTGCATGTTTTGGGTTAGATTCTGGGCTTTGATTTTTAGAAGACAGGATCTCACCTTGTAGGCCTGGCTCTTTTGGAACTCACAGAAATCTCCTGCTTCTCCCTCCCAACTTGGAGCCATGTGACACCACATCCAGCTGTGGCTCATGGCTAAATTAAAGCCAGTCTGTGCAGTCTCTGTGGCTGCCATGTTGACATGATGTCACATCAAACAGCAGCTTCCAGGGCTCAGGGCAGGGAGAGAAAGGAGCTGCTTCTAGGATCTGGAGCAGTGATTCTCAACCTTCCTAATGCTGTCACCCTCAAAACAGTTTCTCATGTGGTGGAGACCCTCTCTTTCTCTCTGTCTCCCCCCCCCTCTCTCTGTATCTCTCTCTCTCACACACACACAGACTATAAATTTATTTTGTTGCTCCTTCATAATTATAATTTTTCTAATGTTATGAATCATACCATAAATATCTGATACACAGGATATCTTATGTTCTACCACTGTGGGAGTAGCAAATCATAATTTGGGAACTGCTTATCTGGTGTTTCTAAATAAGTATATTTTGTAAAAATTATCCTTAGTGATGCTTGAAGAGGAAATGAACATACTCTTCCCTGACCTGTTCACTTATGGCCAAAATTACATATTTTCTGTTTTGCATTTTTATGTGCTCTGTGTGTATACATGTGGGTCTGTTAACTCCGGTGTGTGTGTGTGTGTGTGTGTGTGTGTGTGTGTGTTTGTTAATACATGAATGTCCACATTTGTTCAATGTCCTGTGGAGACTAGCCAACAACTTCAGATGTAACCTGCCTTATTTTTTGAGTTAGGGTCTCATATTGGCTTTCAGGTTGCCAAGTAGGCTAGCTTGTAAAGCAAGTGAGCTCCAGGGACATGCGGTCTGACTCCTGGGATTTCAGCTCACTCTGCTCTGTTTGGTATGGAACTGAATACACAGACAGGATGGCTTTAATGCACAGGGTTCTCCTGCCTCTGCCTTCAGGGCTAAGACTAAAGGTCATGCCAGGTTCACCAGGCTCTGCCTATGGGTACTTGGGATTAATCTCAGGTTCTAAATTCCACACATCAAACACTCTATGGACTGACACATGTCTGCATGTCATATACATTTATGACAAAACACATCTATTTCTGTGGCTTCATGCCTGTGACCAAATGAAAATCTGAGTACAGACAGCCAAGAATGTTGGAGATTGTGCATTTGGCCTTACTCTCCTAGAGTCTCAGCCTTCAGCCTTTATTCCCTAACTGTGTGAACTTCTGAGAGCTGTTCCAATCATGCACCCCACAGAGGAGACAAGGTGTGACTCTCACCCCATTCCTCCCTCAGCCAGGAGGATCTGCTCACTCTCATCTCTCCCCAGCTGTCAGCACCACCATGGAGTCTCCCTCCTTAGTCACCCCTGCAGTGGCCACAGCTGGCCTGGAGGACACAGAGGGTCAGAGCAATCCTTCACTTGTGAACCTGGCAGCCACAGTCGGGGTGGTGGTGGCCACGGCTGTGCTCATAACCCCTGTCTGTGTGTTGATGATCTTCCTGTGCTGGGAGCAAAGGTAAGTGTCCAGGACAGGCCCTCACCTGAGCTTCCCCTCTGAGTTCTCTCAGCTGTGGGGGATGGGGAAGGAGGTTGTGCAGGGGAATGTGAGGAGAACAGAAGGGCAGGAAGGTGGCTGAGCTCAACACAAAGACTGAACTGGCGATTACTTTCCTTAGAGACCAGCTGGGTCCAGTGCAGATGAACACAGAGCGTGCTCCTAAGGAAATCAAGGGGAATCCGGGGCCTTAGCTCCTGCAGGTCAATGTGCAAGGTTGTCCTGTGCCTTACACATGTGTGTGTGCACATACAAACATACACATTCACATATACACTGTCCAAAATAATATTTTAAACAATTTGGAAACACGAAAAAAAAAAGTAAGGTACTTATCTAATGAAAAATTTGTCCTATAATTACTTACAATGCAAAACAATCAAGAAATTCATTATAATCCGATTTCAAATCTCAAAAGTATCGTGTAAAGATAAATCGTTTGCCTCTGAACTTCACTGCGACTTTGAGAAACAAATGTATGGACACAGGAAGGGAGACCCTAATCCCAGCATTGGGAGGTGTATGGAGTGGAATGAAAGTTCAAGGACATCTGCAGTTGTACACATAAAAGAAGAGCCAAGTGTGCTCTGTGTTCAGTGTAGATTTAAATCTAATCCACAGTGAGGAGAAGACTACAGGACAGGGAAGAGATGCATAGAGAGAGGAGTGTGATGGAAATACAGACTTGACAGGTAGCCCCGGTTTCAGAAGGGCCCGGCCCTCCAATGAGGGAAGAAGAGGAACTGAGCTCTGGAGAGCAGCAGCCTTAGACACAGCACAAGTCTGACTGTGACTCCAGCCCTGAGGCTGAACTGGCAGGGCTGCAGCAGGCTGCACTCACAGGGAAAGCTACAGAGCCGGTTCCCAGGGAGGCAAAGGGGAGGCATGGTGAGTGCAGAGAGGGAAAGCAGGGAAGGGACAGGAGTTCAAGGCAGGGGGAAGGAAGTAAAGGGAAAGGGGATGGACAAGGAGCAATGGACCAGGAGAGCTTTCCCCTGATTGGCTGTGCTGTGCTGAAGGACAGCTGAGGACTGGCCCCAGGTCCTGGTGATTCTCATCCTGTCCCTGAATGGCTGCTGCAGAGCTGTTTGCTGCCCTGGGTCCCTAATGTTGTCTGAACACAGAGAACAGCTGAGAGGCAGAGGGAGGGTCAGCATGGCTGCCACACTGACACCGTTTCTTCTCCTACAGGCCAGCACCCTAAAGCCAAAGCCCAGCCAGGTGGGCGCCTGTCATCCCAGTGAGCAGGTGAGGGGCCTTTCAGGATGTTTGCTCTGAGAGACATGCAAGGGAGTAGAGAGATGATTCAGTCAGGAAACCCTCGAACATGGACAGGAGGACCTGAGATTGATCCGGAAAACACACATTATTAGCAAGGCAGATGGCAGGAAATTGTACCTTCAGCCCTGGACAAGCGAGAACAGAGCAGAGTCATAGGGCTCGCTCGATGTGCAGCTACTCAACACTAATAGGAGAGTTCCAAGCCAGTGAGAGGCTATGTCACAAAAAAAAAAAAAAAAAATCCCCAAAAAGATAAATCATACTAACAACATTTTCTAATTCTTATTTAAATGAAGTATTTTTAAAATACTTATTAAAGAACAAAAAATAGTGTGGGCAAACAAGATAGCTCAGTGGGAATGATGTCGGCCGCCTAGCCCAAAGAACCTGGCTTCCATTTCTGGGGACCTAACTGATACAAGGAGAAAACTGGAAAATCGTCCTCTCCATCTCAGGGTCACCCACAGGCACCTGATGAGACACTGTCTGTTAGTCCCCTGCTAACAGACTCCAGACCAGCATCTGTCACCAGGGAAGTGAGTTTACTTAAAAGTATGGGTTTCTGGCCACACATCTTGCATCCCCTCCCTTCCCCTGACTCTTTAGTGAAGACCAGAGAGTGTGGCTGCAGGAGGGAGCTGTGATAGATCCTTTCCTTGGACAGGTACAAGAAGTGAAGCCACACTTTGGACATGTGGACTCTGATATCCTCTCCTCAGAACCAAGGTCGTCTTGTCTACTCTGGTCCTGAGAACACAATGGTGCTGTTCTCTGTCTGTCTGGAGAAGTAATAACACTTTTCAATAAATGTCTCACTCCCAACAATCATCTCAGTGTGGCTCTTGTCACACACACACACATACACACACACACACACACACACACACACACACACACACACGAGACCTCTTAGAGAGTTGCAGATTGTGTCCAGGACAAGGCACACAGCGAGTCCACACTGAGAACCACTGCATGAGGGTCCTGGTATCTCTCTTCCTTTCTCCATGGTCACCGCCACGTCATCCACAGCCCCTGACCCCTCCATGCTCCTCCTCAGGTGACAGACTGGGACTTGCTTGGGTTCCATGTTGAGCTTCCTTTCCTCACAGGTCATCTACATGCAGTCTCTTTCCTTGATTCCTGCCATGTTCATATTCTGTCCTCTGGGGTCTCCTCTAGCATAAGACTTCCTTCCCAAGGATGGTCTGTCTTCACATTTGATAGTCAGAGGGTCAGCTTCTACCAAAGAGCCTCTGAGACATGAGGACAGCTTCCAGCCTGACAAATAAGAATAACAACTTTTATAGCTTTAAAGGGATATCTGACATTAGGGTAATGAACAGAGAGTCACAGGAAGAACCCACCTAAGAATCTAAGCAATGGTGGAGAGGCTGCCTTAAATGCACTTCCCCTATAATGAGACTAATGACTACTTTAAATGCTATCCAGTAGCTGATGGCAGCAGAAGCAGAGTTCCACAGCTAAGCAGTGAGCAAACTCCTAGAATCCAGGTGTAGACAGGGAGGAGTGATGAGCAACGCAGTCAAGACCAAGTTGGGGAAACCCACAGAAACAGCTGGCCTGAACAAGACTCCAGTCAGACATCTGGGGAACCAGCATAAGACCGAACCAAACCTCCTGAATGTGGATGTCAGTTAGGAGGGCTGGGCAGTCGATGGGACTTCTGACAGTGGAGCCAGTATTTATCCCCAGTGCACAAATGGACTTTCAGAGCCCATTCCCTATGGAGGGATAATCTCTCATCCTAGATACGGAAGAGAGGGCCTAGACCCTGCCCCAAATGATGTGACAGACTTTGCTGATTCCCCATGGAAGGCCTCACCCTCCCTGAGAGTAAATGGGGGGGTGAGATGGGGAAAGTCGGTGAGGGCCATGGGAAGATGGGAGGGAGAGGGCACTGGGAATGATATGTAAAATAAGATTGTTTCTAGAGTATATTTTAAAAAGAAAAGAATGAAAACCATGCTGCTTTGACAGCCAGAAGAGGTACATGGACATTGTGGCTGTTTGCCTGTATCTGACCCCCATAGACTCACAGGGAATGCACTATTAGGAGACATAAAATTGTTGGAGTAGGTATGGCCTTGTTGGAGGAAGTGTGTCATTTTGGGGATGGGGTTTAAGGTCTCCTATGCTCAGTCTATGCTCAGGTTAGACACAGTTGATTCCTGTTGCCTAGTGATCAAGACATAGGTCTAAGATCCTCCTCCAACACCATGTCTGACTACATGCTGCCATGTCTACCATGAAGAAAATGGACTAGAACTCTGAAACTGTACACCAGCCCTAGTTAAATCTTTTCCTTTGTAAGATTTGTCATCTCATGGAGTCTCTTCACAGCATTAGAGCCCTAAGACAGAAATGCTTGATTGACATCCACTCATCACAGTCCTGCATAGTTGCAGCTCTATTCCCACCAATCACAATCCTCAAATGTCTATCAATCATGGGCCTTGCTGAGTCACTGAGGAAAGGTTCCATCCCCATGAGACTAGCTGAGATGGAGGTCATGGAGGAGTCACCAAGGCCTCTCATGTCTAAAGTGAAGGCTCCTCGGGCAGCTGTGAGATGTCTGCAGAGGTGTCACTGGATCCAAGCCTCCTGAGGCTGAACTCGACAGCAGCCATGGTCACAGTGATTTTGCTGCTGGGGGTTGTCTTCTCTGAGCATCCCTGAGGTGTTCACACAAGCAGACTGCCAGTCATCTGATGGGAGTTGCCATTCTGTAAATATGTTTCTCATACTGGTTAATGAATAAAGCACTGTTGGCCAATAGGAAAGCTAGATAGGCAGGACTAGGAGAAGAGGAAGAAAGAGGGAGTAGGAAGAGGAGGAGTTAAGATGGAGAGCTGGGAGAGAGCTGGATGCCAGCCGGCTCTCCGGTAAGACCACGTGGAAATATTAGATTAACAGAAATGACAGAGCTAGCCGATAAGAAACAAGTAACTGGCCAACAGCGTTATATCTAATACAGAGCCTCTGTGCGTTAATTGGGGTAGGTGTGGCTGCGGGACCAGACATGGCGGTCAGAAAACCCATACTCCTTACTATCATCTAAAGCAGGGTTCCTTCATCAGCTCCTCCCTCCAGACAGCTTGTCATGGAAATGGGACATTATGGATGGCACTCGATGGTCATGTGATATGTTGTGTCAGTTTCCATTGTTCAAAAGGGCGGAACAACAAAGGGGCCCACAGCAAAGACTCACACAGATCCACAATCTCAGCTTTTACATCAGATCACCTCAGGGTGAAGGAACACTGTATTCCCACATCACAGCACACCTCACTTCAGGCATGGCTGCCACTGTTTGTGATTTGTGTCCCCTGGACTGAGCTAGTCAGTTTAAAGGAGTACTAGAGGAAGACAGGCTTTGTGGCATATGCCTGTAATTCCAATGATTGACAGGAGCAAGACCTTGAATTAGAGACTATCATTAGTACATATTGAATTTGAGGCCAACCTGAGCTTCAGGAAAACCTGTCTTAAAACCAAACAAACAGCGAAGCTCACCAAAGCTCCAAACACTACAGAGAGGCCATAGAGGCTGCTCATGTGCTACTTCACTTTGGTTGGAGGCAGAGAACTTGAAGATGCCCAGAGTTTTCTCATTAGATACACGTATGCAAACTTTGCGACTTTGAATATTTTCTTTAAAATAATATATATAATGTTGAAGAGGAAATTGAGTTTCTCCATTTCTGTGACCTCACACTCAATGATGTGTGAATTTCTTCCTTTGACCTTTGTATCTGCAGAGGCTGGGACACTTCATACCTGAGCACCAGGAGACTGAGCTGGTCCCCCAGCCCCACCCACTGGGCCTTTAGGACACACTGCAGAGCCTCTTCTTGGGGCTCCCCCAGGCAGGGGTACAGGGAGTGCTCATGCTGTGGTTGGGCACCACATGAAGGAGATGAAGATGGTGGTGTCATCCTTGGGAGACAGATGGGATCAAATGGAGCTGGGACAATTGTGATATTGTAAAACTGCAGTTGCAGCCTGAGGGTCCTGTCTACACCACAGGCCTCGATTCTAACACCCTGACTCTAGCATCTCCTCCACTTTCTGCTTGGTCCAATCTGCATGGGTTAATCTGGGGTTTATGTTGTCAAAGGAGAAAAAATTTCAAGCAGTGGGAGAGTAGGTGGTGTTATGGGATAGGTAGAACGATGGTACCATGATTTTTGCTTTATTGCTCCATTATATGGTTTTTAAAACTTGCATATAACACATATTTTAGAACTATTACAGACATTTTTATCTACAACAGGCATAGTTCAACACATTGCAATATCTATAATACTATGTTAAAAATGTGTATCTCAATAAAGCAAATCACATTCATTTTTGTCTTCCAAGTACACATGAAATTTATGCTTCCTGCACATCACAATGTTCTTTTATGTAGGAATATTGTATCTAAAACAGTGTGAATATACTGACTAAAATACATTATTAGCTAAAGTTTTCCAGCTTCAGTAAGTGTTATATTTTTATTGGTATTATTCTTGCTTCAGTGTCTACAGAGAATGATTTTTTGAGTGAGGGTGTTTATGGCAATGTCTTAAAATAATAATCTTATGGCTTGTGTGTTTGCTTAACTGGTGGTTAAAGCCATCACATAAAACAATAAATCCTCTCAGGCAACCCACGGCTCACTGAACCCAGTTTCTTCATCATGAGTAGACTGTGGTTTCAAGAAACCACATTCCCACCCTCTCCCAAGAGCAGGAGCACCTTCCCTGTTTACACTTCATCGCCAGATGGAAACAACTCAGTTATATCTTCACACCCCAATGAGGATTCAAATTCTTGCTCTTACAACCACATCTACATCCATTTCTATCTACGCGATCTTGAACCCCTTAAAGCCACATGTTATAGTGGGGCTCAAATTCCCCCATTAATTTCAACTTTGGCATTTGTCTTTTATATACATACATACATAATACTACATACATACATATATATATATAATATTTTCTTATTTTACATATCGATCCCAGTTCCCTCACCCCCCTCCCATCCCATTCCCCATCCACTCCACAGGGAGGGTGATGCCTTCCAGGAGGGATCATCAAAACCTGTCAAGTCATTTGGAGTAGGGACCAGTCCCTCCAAGTAGACATTTTCATCAAAGGGAGTATCTGCTGAGTCAGGGCCCACAGGGCCTCTACTGCAGGTTATTTGATGGAAGTTTCTGGAATTGGTTGATTCAGACAGAAATAGGAAGGGTTGACCCTGCTCTTTGCCACTACTGTCATGGGAAAACACAGCTGGGTATAAAGTCAGAGTCTGACTGCTGGGGACACTGTCAGGAACAGGAGTCTGAAGAGTCACAGTGCCTCTCCTAGGAGGCCATGTCTACTCAGGAGGAGGACTGGGTAAGCATGTGCTGGCACATCAGCTATGCAAATCTCTTTGCATGATATGTGTGTGTGTTTGCATTCAGGTGCATGTGTGTGGAAGTGTGCCCTACCCTCGTGGAGGCCATCAGACAAACTCAGGCATTACAACTCAGAACACAAATCACCCTGGGTTTTTTGTTTGTTTTGATTTCAGGATTTGTTTTTTGTTTGTTTGTTTGGGGTTTTCAGTGCACATGGACAATGTAGCCATTGCAGGCTAATCACTGGATATGTAGATCAGGCTGTACTCAGACTCACAGAGACCCACTTGCCTCTGACTCTACCTCCCAAAACTAGAATTAAAGGCATACAGCACCACGCCTACCCTCCCTAGCTTTCAATTTTTAAAATTACCCTACTTCTGTATTCTGTGGG